GCATAATGGCTATGTCGCTGGACTCCCACGTAGTCGACCGCGGTTCGTGTCCTGGACCCGGTGGCTTAAAACTCACGCTGGGCGCTTGTGCGTGCGTGCTCAAGATCTCGAGAGGAGAATGGAGGAGAAGGGATTGCGGCGTGACCATCCCCCCTGGGGGGTGATTTCTCACTTTCTGTCTCTATGTCTCTCTCTGTCTGGCGAGCGCATGCGCCCTACAGTGAAAATCTCTCCAAAAAAAAAAAAAACACTCTATACAAGGTCATTTAGTCCATGCCTGCATGGTGGGGTTGGCTACATTATAGAGGGACTGAGTAGGGCTCTTAGGACACATGTGTGATAGGTCTGAGTATTAACCTGAGCTGTGGATTAAAAATATGACTAGAGCTGATGCTCCAGTGTTTCATCTTTGGGCACAATAGGAAGGTTAAAATAGCTTAGTTAGAAAACAAAAAGGTCTTCAGAGAGACAAAGCACTCTTCACAGGGCCTCGCCATACCAGGACCCTCCCCCCAGCCTCCCACCCAGCCTAGATCACAGGCACGCCCAACTTGTTCATGTCTCCCTGGGATCTGATCCTGGGCCTCCCATGTGACTGTAGCATTGCACAGCGACACCCTGCCCCTTGCCATGGTGTCAGGCCAGCATAACATTTTTTTTTCCCCTAAAGAATGTTCATATAAGTTTAAATAAAAATTCAGGGGCCCTGGGATGAGGTAGGCTGGAGTGAGGGTGGTACCAAGTGACGGGTTTGGCCAGCGTGGCTTCCTATGGACTACTGGTGAGTGAATGGCCTGAGGCCCCATAGCCTCTGAGGTTGAGGCCAGTGCTCTGCCTTTGACCTATCCAGCATCCTCAGAACCAAGTGGAACCCACTTCCTCAGATCACACTGTGGGTTTTGTTGCTTAAGCAGATTAGAGGGGGTTGGTGAGGATGGGTGAGCTTGTGGCAAGCTACACACGCTAAACTCTGAACTCGCCATTGGTGTTATGGTGCAGATGTGTCAGGGTCAGACCTACTTCTTGACCTGGCCTGTCAGGTGTTCATTTCCTGCTGCTGGCATTGTGGCCAGGGCCATGGTCCTGCCACCCTGGGCTCATGCCAGCCTTCTGCAAGTCTGGAGCCCTGTAGGAGATTCTGGGAGGGGATGAGAAGGTCACTCAAGGGGGTGGGGGTGGGGTCCTGGGAGTATCTGGGGCCTTGGTGGGAGCCTAGCAGTGTCTACTGCCCTCTCATGGCACTTTTGTCCCGGGGGCCAGTTCTCTGTGTCCGAGTGGGGTCCAGTCTTCTGGCTGCAGGCTCATTCCAGTGTCCCACAGCTCTGCGTTCCTCACAGAAACCTCCAGACTGCGGGTTGTTATCTCTGAGCTCCAGGCGCACATGCACCTGCCTGTCAGGCCTTTCTACCTGGATGTTGCTGCAGTAACTCAGCTCCAGCTGGATGCCCGAGAATCATGATGCTCCTCCCATGCCCCTGGGTTAGGGATTGGCACGACTGTCATCCAGGTGCACACACCTGGGGGTCCTGTGCTCCTCACCCCCACCTGTGAGGGGCCTAAACCGAGTCAGGGATGGAAATCAGAATAGACAGGAAATCATGCAGGTCTGCATCTAGGTTTCTTTTGCTGGTGGGCCCAGCCTCTTCCCCAGGAGGTGGATAGTCACATGGCCTTAGGGCTCTGGTGTCTGATCCTTGCCCACTCTGAATCAACCTCTGAGGGGTTCCCAATGCTTGATGCCCAGGTGGGCTGGGGGAAGGGGGTGTCCCACATCTCACTTTCTGTTGTAAGATGGAATACCACAAGAAGCACTAGATAGAATTTAGGGAAATGGGGTTTCTCCAAGGGAATCAAGATGCCACCTAAAGATGGGGCTGCTGCTATGTGATGACTGAGGCCACGTGGGAGGCCCAGGTTTGGTTCATGGCCCAGCCTAATTAGCCTGGGCCCAATGGTTTGCACCTGTGGCCCTAGCTGGCTGGAAACTGGGGTAGGAGAATCATTGGGGTAAAATCCTGTCCAAAAATACTGATCTCTCTCGCTGGAAGAAACTTGGGGCTACTGAAAGGGAAGCTGGGGTGCTTTGGCCTGGATGCCCCAAGGCAGAGCCAGAGAAATGGACCTGTAGACAGATAATTTGGTAGGTGGATCCCAGAAATAGGACTGAGGGACACAGTGTGGAATGATCAAAAAGGGGACCTCGGTCCCTCCCTGGGCTCCTTTCTGTGAGAACCCTGAGGATACCTCGCAGCTGTCTGCTCGGGGGCAAAAGGTGACACATCTACCCGTCACCTATCCCCACTGGTCGAGGGTTAAGGTTAGCTTCTGGGCACTCAGGCATGAGAAGTCCCATGGGGACCTCTGGAGACATCAGATGGAGAAGGCAGGGGCAGGGAGCTGTGGATACCCAAGGGACAGGTGGCTGCATGGGCCTTGTGGCCACCCAGGAGCTGAGCAGAGGTAGCTGGGAGGGTGCAGCTAGGTCTAAGCTGTCCAGGATGGTGGCTGCAAAATAACCCTTGCACATGGCCATGTGTGAAACTCTCCAGCCACAGCCATCCCCACACAGCCTCTCACCTAGATGACTTTCAAGCCCACCTCGCTGCATGTCATCCACTCCCACTCACCTACTCTCCAAAGAGCAGCCAGAGAAGGGTCTTTTCAAATGCTATGCCATCCTAGCCTCTCATCCCTTTTAGAATCTTGTTGCTGTTTCCATGGCTCTTAGAATGAAGTTCAAGACCTTGAGTGATCTTCAGGCCCTGCATGGGTCCACCTCACTGCTTGCTCCTGTCTGCCTCTGACCCCCACGGCCACGCTGGCTCTGTCCATGGTGGGGCGGATATCGGAGCCCAGGGCAGGCGGGGAGGCCTGGGCGGAAGGAACCAGGGCTCAATGGGCAACCATTGTCTGATGGGGCCGTGGCCTGGAAAAAGTGCTCTGAACCCGTTGGCTGGGGAGGGCTATTTATAAGACAACC